AACTAGTACTGAGAGGAAAATCAAGATCACGATTTCAAAATATTGTATAGCTTAGTTTTTATAAAGCACTCTGACGAGTTTCTAGCTATAGCTTCTGGCCAACATAGACGTCGTCATTTTTACTCCTTTTTTTTCTCTTCAATATTATTTTTATTATTAATATCGTTGTTTTTAGTTTTTTGGTGTCGTCATAGTTTTATTGCTTTTTTTTTTGCTTATTGTCATTTTTGTTCATTTTACTACCATTATCGTTCGATATCGCACACAGTCCATAAAGTACGCTGTGCTGTTGTATTATGCGAATAATTTCGGTTTTTTGCGACTTTTAACTTCTTTTATTTGTGCTTATTGTTGTTTTATCTTGGATATTTTGTTTATACACGGTAGGTCAATATTTGCTATGTATAGGAGCAAGAGAAGAAAAAAATATGGAAACAAGATGAAAACTAAGTTCCATTATAGCTAATATTCTGAACGATGAGAATCCTCGAAGGGAAATAGATTTTTTAGGAGCGATTTTTCCACATCTTTAAGGCTTTTTTTTACAATTATTTTTCTTTTTCAATACTTTTTCTGTTTTAAAATTCATATTACAATTTTTTTGGTATATTTAATGTTTAAAATATAATATCTGATTATTAAGTATGCAGCAGCAGCTATATGCAAGTTTAGAGTAGCAATCGCAGCAGTCTATAATTTCAGAGTCATCATCGTGTGCTATATGGGAATTTTTCAAATTCAAAATTTAGTTTTATATTATTTTTGTTATGAGTGCTTCAATAAGCTATACATTATGTCAATTTAAATAGCGAATTTTTCATATTCGAAACAGAGATACGAAGTCAATGAACAGTGTAGCAACATTGATACAATAGAATCACATGAGTGTTTAACTATGTATAGCCTTTTTTCTCTAAGAAATTCGGAATTTATATACAATAAGTTGGATGTGATATTCGATAGAACCCGATATTGTATTTCATTTTCATATTCCGTAGGTTCATGTTAAAGCAAAGTTTTTGAAACTAATGCAAGAGCAACCTCTTAGATTTGGAACTTTAACAAATAGCGAAATTGTGAAGAAGAGAGAGTAAAAATTTTAAATGCTTTTGCTTTCGGTTGGTAAAGTGAAAACATTTTCAAGGAAACTGTCATAAAAATTTAAGCTCTTTTCAATAAACTGCAAACAGTATTTTAGTGGAGTTTTAAAAACTTTGATCAATCCGCTGTTCGTGAATACTATCGTCATGATGAAATCTAAAATATTTTGTTATTTTGTTTTCGGGAATGTTGTAGAATTTGAAAAATGGTTGAAAGACTCTAGAAATTTTTTAAGAATTTTAACACTTTCTATAAGTAAAACATGTACATAACATCTTGAAAAGTCGATTTCTCTATAATATTTTGAGTTAAATTTAAAAATGCAATTTGTTTTAAGCTTTGTTAAGTTTTGAAGAAATGCCGTCCCTTAGGAACTACATATGTACAAGAAATCCTAACAATAGCTAATTCTCTTTATGTTTTGGTACATTAAAATCTTATGTAAATGTAGCTTAAGCAATATATTGTATTGACTAGCAGAAGGAATTAAAAATAATTTTTTTATAAATTAAAATATGCTGTAAAGATTTTGAACTGGTTGTTTTTTTTATTTTTTATTTAAAAAAAAAAGAGTTTGTTTTAGAATATTTTCTCTAAGAAAGCGAATTTGGTTGTCGGTGTAAGAGGAGTACGAAAGCTGGGAAATTTTTTTCGCAGTGGGACATTTAGAACAAATGGCTGAAATATTTATATTTTCGTGCTTTTGTAAAAATACAAAATAATAAAGGAATTTGTGACTATTGCAATTTTTTCTGTTTTGGCTCTTTTCCATTTTGTTTTTTGGTTTTCTTCTGGAAAATGTGTTTTCTTTTCGTTTAAAATTTTATTCTTTTTCATTTACTATAAAAAATGTTGTAAAAATATAAGTTCAAGGTGCACAGACAAGACGCCACATGGACTCCAGCCGGGCTTTTGTTCTATTGATTTTCATTTTTTGTTATTTTTATTTTTGTAATTTTTATTTATTGAATTTTTTATTCAAAAATGACAAAATTAAATAAAAAAAAATGGAAAACATTGGAAAATAATTTCAAAATTTTCAAAATCATTTCATTTTTCAATGTTTTTTAATAGATTTCGCTACCGATTTTATTGTCAGTTATAATTTTTGACTTGGCAAACGAAATTATTAAGAGTTTTTTATGGAAAATATTTTTAATAATAAGGGAAAATGTTATGTAAAGACATTTGAACTCATTGTTTTTTTTTTATTTTGAAAAACTTTGTTGCATATTATTAATGGTTTATATTAGAATACAAATCGATTATTTTTTAGTTTTCTTCTAGTTTTTTTTATAAGTTAATTGAAAAGCATTTTGATAACGATGTCATATACATAAATTGCCAAAAATTGTTCTTATAGTTTATTGGTATACAATATGCTTTTTGAACCTGAGAAATGCCAAACTAGTCGAGTAGTATAAAATATCGGTTATACTTTTACATCTTACCATGTACAAATTACATTTGAGGAAATGAAGTCATTGTAAATTTCATTGAAGTCTTACAATATAATTGAATAAACCGGGTTTTCGAATGTCCTAGGTATTTTCAAGGCAGGATCCAAAAGATTTCAAGATATTTTCAAGTGAATCCAGAATAAAGCGAAGAGGTGACTTTTTAGTTTTTTTTCTAGTTCTCCTTAAGTTATTGTGCTTTAAATTGGGTTTTGCTAAAAATAATAGACAGAACGAATTCTGCAAACCCAATTTAGCCTCTCCCGACTTTTCAAATTTTTTCACAGGCTACAGTAAGAGCAAAAAAACTTCTCAAGATAGCGCCATGAAATGAAAGGTAAAATATTGGAAATAATTTTCTTAATAGATTCTGATAAAAATTTGACTTTTTATTTTAATTAATTTTAATTTTAAAATTGGAAATTTCTCTTTTAAATTACAAAAAAAATGGAAATGTATACTGTAAGTCGTCATACAACCACGAATAAAATAACATTTTTAGTGTATTTATACCTACAATAAAAGACACCACAAAAAGTGTGCGACATTAGATTACGTCAATTTGCAGCATTTATTTTAATGCTTAAGTACCATATTATAAAAAGCAGTTTTTTCAAATGTAAGAACAGTTAGAACGAATGCATTTTATATGATAATAATGACTCGCGTTTTACAAAAACTTTATGTTTTGTGATTATCATTGCAACTTTAGTTCAAACTCATATTTTTTCACGCATTATAAATGAAAATTAACAAATGAACTAAAAGTTTTACGCTATTTTAACACGTAAATGTAAATCACTTTAAAAAAATGTTCCAGAAACTTAACTCCTGCTAATACAAAAACGATATGGGCCTTGTGAACAACTTACAACAAAAGTTTTTTTTATATTTAATGAATTTCTTTTAAATCTAGATATACAAAAATAGGTACAAACGCGTGGCTACAGAACATTCACGGAAGCAGGGAGCCGTCAATAAGTAAAGAATTTGAATAACTTTTTTTCTTTAATTTCTCCATATACATTCTCTATACTTAAGATACGTTACATTATAAAGTGAAGTAAAAAAGTAAGAAAATTTCAGACTTCGATGAGCAAGTGGTATAACATCGCCGTAAAACTATAATATACTTCGCATGCTGATGATCTTTTTTATACCCGTTCAAACGTTTATTCAAATAATATTATATTCGCTACCCCGTTTGTAATACTAAAAAATAACTGTTCAAAACATATTAGACGAATACCTAAATTGTTTTAATGATCCTTAGAGAACATTTGGATATACATTTTTGAGTAACTTCCACGAAATTTAGAGTTTGAAACTGAACAAAAGTGATTTTAATATTTAGTTTGTCAAGTTTCATCAAGAGATAATAAATTAAAAAAAAAAATCTGATGTGGTCTATATTGACTAGATCAGTAAAAATATTCCAGAAGATTATGAAAATGCGTTTTAAACACTTCTTTACAATTTTAAGGGTACCAAAAAGCTTTTAGCTAACATACCTAAAAAAATGTGAATTTGGCTTTTTGCAGAGTTTTATATTGTGCCGTCCGAATTATAGGAAAAGTTGTGTCGTATGAAGCTTGTATATGAAATTTCAAGTAAATCTGTTGAATATTTTCTTCTAAATCTCAACTTTTTCTTCTAAATCTTATTTTGAGACTTCTCAAAAGTTGATCAATCCATGCCTTGGACAAATGGTTAAAACTAATATAAAATTTCATCAAAATCGGTTCAGCCGATACACGCGTGCACACACAGACCGACCGACCGATAGGTTGCTAAAAATAGTTTATTTATCACTTCTCTTCACCAGAGAAGTGCGTTCTTACAGAAAACTCGATATGCAAAATTTGTTGCCATCACATAACCAACCTTATTGTATACACAATGCGGTCGGTAAAACAATTGGCGCAAAGGTAGAAAGAATAATATAGTATTATAAGTTTTCTCATAATTATTTGGTTGTAGTCTGCAATTTAACCATTTTGCTCTACTTTTTATATTAGTTAATAATTAAAGATTTGGCTAAAGGTGCAGTGGTTATGGCACCGGTCCTTTAACCGAAGAACCCTTGGCCAAGTCACCATAAAAGTTATAACAAATTTTATGTAGCTAAATATACAATTTTATGAAATAAAATGTCAATATAAAAGTAATCATACCTATATATGTATGTATATATAGAGTTCAAGAAACTGTTGGAAGGTTAATCAAACCTCCTATTGTCATTTTGAAGTTTGGTATTATCCACATAACTTTCAAAATTAAAGTCTCCCTCAAATTTGTATAAATTTTGATTTGAATTATTTTGTCTCGACTTTTAAATCAAAACTTAAAATAAAAATTTTTAATTTTAAATTTTTTTTATTTGTGCTCCAAATTACTTTTTGTTTTCTTAATTTACAAATATTAAGAAATTATTTTTTTCAGTTTTCAGATGAATTATTGTTTTGGTTAATAACAAAAATATATTGATAACACCGCCAATTAAATTTATGGGAGAGTTAAGAAAATAAGAAATTTATTGTTGTTGCTCCTAATAATATCAGCAAGACTGGGTATCTTATGAAATTTTAAAAATAAATCAAACTTTAAATTGAATATGAACCAAATTTGGAAATAAATCTTTATTAGTACACAAAACCAAATCAAAATGATTTTAACAAAAGTTACAAAAAAAATCCCAATATGATTGCGTTTGTCACTTGAAAATAAAAAGCTGTTCCACAAAAAAATGCTTTTTTAAGGGATTTAAGAAGAAATTTGCATAAATGCGTCATAATCCGCTAATTTATTTTGAAAGAAGAAAAACGAAATAAGGTAAAAGTAAATAAAAGCAACTTGATATCAATCAGCACTTTGGATTTCAATTTCAAATAAATATCGGCAACAGTACAGTAGCTTAGTAACTAAAAGACAATGTATAGTGAAAAACGTTTGGATAAAAATCAAACAGGGCTTCCCATAACACCTTTAGGGAGCAATCACCATTCTCATCATCATCATAATCAATTACATCATCATCATGTGCATCATTTACATCCACATCATAATCCATTACAAATAAATCATGCGACTGTTAGTGCTGCACCTTCAGCAATTCAACAGCATTCACATCATCAGCATCATCAGGTCCATCCCAGTGTTCATTCAGCTGTACACATACCAATTTCAAATCCTCATTCACATTCACCAATATCTGCTGTTGTACAGCAACAGCAACAACAGCAAGCAACACAACATCAAACACAGCAGCAAAATGTTCAACACCAGGTGCAGCAACAACAACAGCAACAACAGCAACAATCTCAACAACAGCCACAACAACAGCAACAGTCACAACAACAGGGGCAAGGAACAATGTTTACAAGGTAAGTTAAAAACATTTTTATTTTGGTTTTTATTTGAAGTTTTAAATTGTTAAACCTTCTGGAAAAATGGGCTGTAAACATTTAACTAGAGTTGCTCTGAAAAGCCACAGGAAAGTAAAGTTCTGTTCAACAAAAAAGTGGCACTATTTTTTTTCACTCTAAATTTTTTTAACTCAAAGCTTTTCTATAAGTTAAAATCAGATTTTGGTTATCTGCATTTTGGGATTAATTTTTGTTTTGAAGCTTTATTTCTACGAGTAATAGAAGAAGCCAAGCCGCTTTTGTTAAATTTAAGTAAATTACCAACAATTAGAAAATTTTCAATTTGCTATGTAGTGTTTTGGACAGTAAAGGAAAGTGATTTTGTGTTTTTTGCCATGACTATGATTCGTTTTAATTAAAAATAAAATTTTCTCAATAATATAAAAAATAAGCTCAATTCTGGAACTTAATTACAATACTAGAACAAGTATTGTCTTCAACAGATGGCTGGTGCAACAATTTATTTATTTCAAACACGACGAGAAGTGATATATAGAGAATACTTACGCGAGAATAGAAACGTTGTTTTGTTCGCATCAACTCTTCAATGTGCTTCTAGTTTGTCGCGCTTAGTGCAATCTTCTAGTTTTTTCTTTCCATTCTTGTCAATCTGATTGACATAATTTGCTTCCATATTAATTTTTTGAATTTATTTTTACTGAAAAATTTTTCAATCTTGAAATTGATTGAGGTTTTTGAAACCCGTATTTAATTCAATAGTCATAGACTCAATTTGTATTCTAAGAATTTACCTTTTTAACATATGTACATATGTTAAAAAGGTAAAAATGTTGAGAGTAGTGATGCAACTTTCATTTTGAAAAAATTATTTTTGTTTTATTATTTTCAAACAGTTAATCACAAGTTTTTAATTAAACCATTTTGTTTGGTTTTTTAGAATTTTTTATTTAGGATGCATTTTCCCGTAAACTTGGGTTACACGCTGTAATTCATTCTTACTCAATAAAACTTAAAACGAAATTTACTAACTAAATGCTGCAATATTTGCAACTACACAATAAACATCAAACTAACTGTCATGGAAGTTAGTTTGCTGTTCATTGTTTGGTTTCGATAAAAAAATTTATACATTGATTACACAACGATTTAAGTGAATAGAATGCAAATTAAGTAGTCTGTATTAATACACGATCATTAAAATTTCTGTTAAGACCCATCACTATGGCGTAAAAAGAAAAACTATAAGAGACTGACAGGCTTTGTTAAAACCATATATTCATTTAAGTGGAGGTTAAATATAGTGGCACTAATAATCAGTTAAACTGTAATGCAAGTGTTGAGAGTATATAAAAGAGTTCATCACTTGACCTGTATGGTAAAATTTATACCAAAACAATATAAGAAAAAAAAACAAGGAATTCAAGAGATGGCGCCATTTATTGCTTGTACATGTTATGCTATTAAGAAGCAAAAGAAAGAGAAGAAATAAAAAAAGTGTACAAAAGCACCTTCATATAAATTATAAAAATTACAATAAGAAAAACTATTTTATAAAATTTCAAGTCCCCAAAATACGTATGTAAATACTTGTAAGTTGAGTCACTTTTGAGTGGAAATTCAATTGAATAAGAGTTGAAGTGGTTTATAAAAAAAAACTAAAGTTAAAATTTGTTTAATTTATTTTGGTTTTTGATGTTAATAACTTATGCAAATAATGTAAATTGTGTTTAAAATAACCACGGAAATTTTACGCGTTTTGTATTTACTTTTTTCCATTTTATTTTTAGCTTGTGTGTTTCTTTTCCGTCTTACTGATTTTTTTTGAATGAAAAAAACTTAAATTAGAATTCAACATTTTAGAAATAATTTATTTGTGAAATTGTACATAGGTATGCAATGTTAATTCCAAAATTTTTGGCAACCAATTCCATTAAAATTTTTTGGGTGAATTTCTGTTGAAATTTTTAAAAGTAAATTGCGGATTTGCTTTTAAACAAATCAAATATTTTTGTTTAAATATTCTTGACAGTTAATAACTAGAGTAGTTTTATATTTTCGATAGGATTTATTGAAATTTTATAATATTCAAAGTTTTGGATAAATTCGATTCTAGAATAACATTTTGTATTAAAATTACACAATTCTTAACATATAAGACTTGTTTTATGTAAACTTAACTGTTATTGAGGAAAATTGATTTCTCTCAATACTTTGAAAATTGTAGCTAATATTTTTTAATATAACTAAATATGTATATTAATTTTCGGGGGTTTCACTTATTACTGTAAAGAAGTATACATTTAAAAAAATTTATATGAATTGAGCCATGAGTTTCTTAAAATTTAAATTGATTTATTTCAAGGATTTTAATTATTTCAAGGATTCTGTAATTATGGTAAAATTAATATTAATTCTGATTTCTAATAAGAAATTTTGCAAAACCTTAATGTTAAATATAATGGAATCATTATAGATTCACATAGTTCAATCAATTAATAAATTATGTTCGGGTTAATTTTCTAAAAATTCGTCATGTTATGCGGCAACTACATTTTGGTTTTTATAAATTCATTAAATGCATTTTAGTCACACTGTTATTGTTTTCCCTAAAAATGTGTTGTAGAACAGTTATGAAGTAGTACAAACACCCCAAATTGTTGTGGACTTTCACAAGTGTTTTGGTGTTAAAGTTTCATTGACTTCATTATTTTCAAATTTTGTTTTTTTTTTATTTTCAAATCAGTACAGTTCTAAGCCTACTATCAGATTATTTCTTTGATGCTATTCTGTTGGGTAAATTTGTTTTATCAAGATTTTCATTATACATATGTAGACATACATACATATAAATTTTATTTTGTTGTCCTTTCGAAAAAGAAAATAAAATAAAGTTAAACAGTTTTACGTTATAACATATAGGTGTTTTGTGAACGCTTTTTTTGTTTTATTTTAATAAAATGTTAAAAATAAGAACAAAAGCCATTGAAATACGCTCAATTCTGCATATAATTGACCAGATTCTTTATGCTAAAAGTTTTAGCGTAATTAGTAAAAGAGGTTGGTTCTAATTATATATTATGCATACATATTTAGTACTGAACTTACGATCTAAGTTTAAACAAACTGTTGTTTTGAATTAACTCTTTAAAAATTTCAAACCGAAATATCTTCATAATATAATTGTGTTAAATCACCATTAAATGTCAGATAAGAAAAATGTAAAATGTTATGCGAATCACTTGGGTTCAGAGAAGTGTGAACTGTTTTATAAAAAATTATAGGTTTCTTGCAAAAATGTTTTGAAATTCGGGATAAGCTTATTTTTTCCTTTAAATAGATTAGGAGTTTCAATCTATTCTGGAAATTAAAAATTCTTATCGAGTGTTTTCCGGGTTTTCGTATAAAGAAGAATTTTTTTTTTTCTTTTTAAAGACTCTAGATTGTTTTTAGCACTTTTCCAAAAAATTTTTTGAAAAAAGTGCTTATTAGTTTCACTCTGTCCGTCCGTCCGTCCGTCTGTCCGTGTGTCTGTTTACAAAACTTTTACACCTTTGAAGATAGAAAGCTGAAATTTAATACGTATATAGATCTTCACTAGAAACTTATTTCCGTAGAACAAAATTTTTACCTATCTCCTCCCCTCTAGAAGTTATACCCCCCCAAAACCCTAAAAATGGCCTTTTTAAATATTTGTTGCAATGAAACCATAAGCATTTTTGAAATTTTGCAAACGCAGAAAGGCAGTGGCTTGCTTCCCCTTGCGCGGTATACTATAGTTCAACTTAAGAAAAACAAAATGGCCGCTCAAATTTACCGTTATTTAAAGTCCTTTTTTTCCAAATTTTTGATGTCGTTTTTCTTCTAGACCCCAGACTGTAGAAGCTTGAAATTTTAGGAGCTTTTAGATATTAATAAATAGTTCATTTTGTTAGAAGAAAATTTTTTTCCATCTCCACCCCCTCTCAAGTTATCACCTCTTGAAATTCGTAAAATTTGAATTTTTGACACCTTATATTTCCGAAACCGCAAGCTTTTCCAAATTTTTATAAACGCGAAAAGCTAACGGTAAATTCCGTGAAATTAAAAAATATAATTATTTTTCTTAACTCACACAATTAACCCTTAAAATCGAGCATTATGTTAACCCCTTTTTATATTAATTTTTGCTTTATTTCAAAGACTGCATGTATGCATCATCCTAAATATATGCAATCCTAGAAATAGTTTTGTATATGAATGAAAATAATTTTAATAGTGTGATAGCTATACATAGACTGTATTTAAAAGCAGAATTTTCACTTGTTGAAGGGAAAAGTGCTACAATACAAACCATTGGTTTGACCCAACTTTATTTTATAACAATTTCGGAAACTTTCTGAGTAAATATGTCTAAAAATAGCATAAACTATATAGATATGGGGGGAATGAATATACATTAAATATTTGAATAAAAATTTTAAACTAAAAATATTCTGAAAGATTAATTCTACATCTCTGGTACTACATATTGAATCAATATTGCACCAGAAAGAGAACAAAAATAGAGAAAATTAAAAACAATATCTGATTTTTCTGAATATTCTGGTGTAACATATTTAAAAGTATCAGGAAAGATATTTCAGCGATTAAGAAAACAGCAAAAACAGTGTTATTTTGAATTTTATTTCTTTGATAATATTTGCTTAGCTCACATGTGAGCTATTACTCAACTGATTATTTCGGAAAAGTGGGTTTGAAAAAAGCAAGTGGTACTGAAGAAAGACGAGTTTTGTTGTGAACATTTTTAAAATATAGCCCCATTTTTATGCTCAACTTAACATAATTTAAACTATTCAAAAAAAGCAACAAATTTCTTTGCGTTACTTGCAATGTTGATGTTGACTACATTTGAATGGTATCACAATTGCAGTTATTTATTCTTAAGGATAATAAAAAATATTCGATGGTACAAAGTGTGGGATCGTTCGCGTTTTTTATTTGCTCGAATATAGTGCAAG